CAAGCCCTAGGCATGGGGATTTTTTTTCTGAGACACTATAGGGTATGCTGATTCAGAAAAACCAAAAATTAATTTTCCTTTACTTTTTTCCCGCTAAAGTTAATTTCAGCAGTTTTACAACCAGACTATTTTGCAAGTTTCAATTAAAGAAAAATGGTCAAGTATATTTTGAACTCAGTGAATTTTGTAAGATTAAAGGATTAAACATTGACATTGACTCAACATTTAACATTTTACATTGAATTAACATTGAACATACTACATTGAATCGACGTTGAAATTTACGTTGATGCAAACTTTCATTTACAACCAAAATTCAACGTTGATTCAACATTGATCGTTTGATGTTATTATAACGCTAAATAATTGATGTTGAAACAGCTTTAGACATTTTACGTTGAATCAACGTTGAAATGTATGTTGATGAAAACTTTCATATTCAACTAAAACTCAACGCTGCTTCAACATTGATCATTTGACGTTGTTTTAACGTTAAACATTGACGTTGAAACAATTTTAGGCATTTGACGTTGAATCAACATTGAAATTTACGTTGATGAAAACTTTCATATACAACTAAAACTCAATGTTAATTCAACATTGGTCATTTGACATTGTTCCAACGTTGAAAAATTAGCGTTGAAAGAACCTTAGTCATTTTACGTTGAATCAACGTTGAGATTTACGTTGATGCAAACTTTCATATACAACAAAAATTAAACGTAGATTCAATGTTTGCATATTACGTTGAATCAACGTTATTTCAACCAAGTTGTGCCCACTGGGATACGTTTATTATTACTAATATTATTATTATCACTATTGTATCCTTTTATCCTTGTATAATTTTCCTTTTTTCTCCATTTTTTTTATTTTTCAAACTTTAGGTGGGGACCAGGCAGGTCCCCACCAGGGAGTGAGCAAGCAAACAAGAACATCCCTAAAATGATCAATATCTGATTTACAATTTAAAAAAAAAAATATGATTATTAATTATTATTATTAGGTGGTCAATCTGTAAAATTTCCTCCCTGGACCTTACTTTTTATTCCAAGGGTATTTTTTAACTGATCACATTCATTAATACCAATAACCAGTTAGCTGCACTGAGCAGTAAATCTGGTAAATAATGCAGTATTTAAGCCAGACTTGGACTTGGACTAGGAAGGGAGGGAGTGGCGGGGGGGGGGGAGCCTAGCCTATGCGTGGTTAGGTTGAACCTCTGTAATAAAATCGAGTCTAGGCTATGCCTAGGTTAGAGACCTATGTCTACATAGATAGGGCCCTATAGTACTCAGTAGGCCTTAAGCTTAATACAGGAGGCTAGTAGTAGAAATAGTGAATTCAAATAGGCCTGCACTGAGGCAATAGAACACTAGGGAGGTACTATTAGGGGGACCCACTATGACACTCAAAGTAGGGAGCCTCTTGGCAATTCTAAATACCTAGGCCTTTCACCCCTAAGCGAGAGGCCCGGCTTTTTCCCACACATGATCTAGCCGAAAGTTGTTCATCTAGGCCTAAACTAGGTTATGCCGAGGGCCTTGGTCTAGCCTAGGCCTAGGTTGACTGAACTTTAATATTTTTAAAGCATTAGAGTTAATATAAGTCTAAACGTTTAGAGAAATACATGATATACATACCTGTATACGTACTATTTTGAATCAAAAAAACCCTGTAAATGCGTGTGTTTACAGTGATAATTCGGATGAATTCCAAAATGGCGTATTTAGAAATTGGTTTAAAAATCTACGCTGGTTCCCGGCGTTTGAGGCTGTTCCAGTATAGTAATTAAACTGTTGTAATCTGGTTGTATATACAATATACAGGACGGCATAAGCCAGATTAGGATTATATAACCCTCGCATATTGCATTTTACAAGGACAGTCACCAGTCCTACATATATGAATATGATGACAGTAGAATAATGGGGTGGAATTTAAATGTTTGCAGTACCCTAATATTGTAGTAAAACACAATAAAAAGTATAATTTGAAATTACAAAAGCAAATATAACGAGTTGCTTCATGACTCAGATACTGTCTTTGGCCCGTTAGCTAAAGTAAAAAAAAATAGAGACTTATAAGATTCTTATAATATTCTAATAATATACCTATGGGATTCCAATAAGATAATATAAATATACCTGTAACGGAGCGTACACTCCGTTAATATTTGTAGAGCCCACACTCCTTTAAATGCAACAAAGACTCGTGATTCACATACAGCTACACAGTAAAGTAAGGTTTAGCTAATCATGCTTTAATATGGTACTCCTGCATGCAGCTACAAATTATACGATTATAAAATAAAGTAAGAAACTGAATAGCTGATAAATCGAAGTGGTCTTTCTACGAATATAACAAAAATAACTAACAAAAGTACCGTTTCTGTCAGACATCATATAATATATAAGTTAACACAACACCTGGAATTTCATGCCTGCATAATTGGTTACACGGATCCCTCACTACGTGAGGTTAGAGTTTACTTAATCATATATAGCTTATTTTGTAAATCTACAATTAAATATTTCAACAATACCTATAAGAATTGCATAAGTTTCCAATAATACCTGTATTATTCCTATAAGATTCCAATAATATATCTATAGGATTCCTTTAAGATTTCAATAACACATTTAGGATTCTTATTATATTGTTATCAAAATAATAGTGTGATATTCATAAGCCAAAAGAGTAAGTATGTTTAAAAGTGATTTCCTATAACAACTTTCCGCTATTTCTTATGTAAACCCGGATGCAAACTTTTTAAGATAACGTTTCTAAATGTGTCTTCACGCTTTGTCAGACATTCGAATGCATAACTTTTGTTTTATCATCGGCAAACATGTGTGGTGTAACCTTAAGTTAAAAGGCAAAAATTAAAACAAATAAAGTTTTAATAGTAACTGATGACAAAATGATACATAGGAAAATACTTGAGGAAAATAGCCGCAGAGAAAAAAAAAATCCCA